CATATAGCTCCACACTCATATCTTGACTTCATTTTTCTGAAACTAAAAAATACTCCTTAATTTGTTAAAAATATAAATTGTTTTTCAATAGTTTACATGCTGAAGATTTATGCTCACATATTAGAACTTAACACCCATTAATTTGTTACAAATTACAATTATAAATCAAATTTTTATTTCTAAATAATTAACTATATCAATGTTATAAAATTTACTATTATAGATATAGGGCTAAAAAATGTGGGAGATTAGTGAAAAACTATTATATATATAGGGATGGTTCAATCCACAAATGTATCACATCATACTGTAATCTAAAGATACTCATACTCGCATAGACGTGGATTTAGTTAACATATAGAGATCATCACTTACGATCCGATCCACTAATTTAGCGAAATATATTATAATCTATCGACTATATATAAATTGGTAGGCATGGAAAGAAGCATAATACAAAACGTAAAAAAAACTTTTCTTTCCTCTTTGAAGATCAACCAACTGATTAATGGCGATATCTCACGTCCAGCCTCTGCTTCTTCTACTCGCATCACTGTTCTTCTTGCCTGCATTGTGCGCCCTCGATTTCAAAGACTGCGGTTTGCTCCTATTTGTGTTCTTTTTCTTGTTAAATTGAACGCGTCGTACAATTTATAAACGATCTCATTAATTTTGACTTAGTTCTAGGAATTAACTTATTAGTTATTACCTTATATTTTGGTCACTCGACATAACCAATAACTAAAGAAAAATCAGTTGTTGACAATTTATCACCGAGAACAATGTGAATTTCTTCACTTTTCAGCTTCGGATTTAAACTAAGAATATGGTATACTACTTTTAAAAAAGAAATTTATTTCTAACTATTTACAAAAATGGATATGCAATTTAATTTTTATGAAAAATAATTTTTAACAAGCAAGCAAGCTACCATCGCATCTGAGGGTCTTCTCTTATCTAGTCTATAGATAAGAATGATCAGGGTTTTGTGTGAGTTTTCTTGTTATTAAACTTGTACAATTTACTCTCAAACCTAAATCTTTGCGACCATTGTAGGTAAAGGAAGTTCTCCTGTTGATGTTACTAGTGTGGTGGATATAGGGGATACAGGCAGCGCAAGCTTTACTATATCCGGTTCTACAAGTACCTATTTTATTCCCTTTTGTTTAGTTTGTTTCCAAAATTTTTTTATCCGCTCTTCTTTTAATTTCTAATATTATTATTGATACATTATTTAGTGTGAATAGGTAAAATAATCACCGGAGGAAATTTCATGTTGAAACTTAAAGTAGGAACTCATATTTTGAGAGAATTTTATGACCTCTGTGGAGTTATGGCATGTCCTGTTGCACCCGGCGCCTTCGTGCTTTCTTCTAGAACCGTTTTTCCTTTCTCTTCAGAGGTAAAGTTTTCTTACAGTTTTATTTTTATCTATTTCAAAAAAAATTCCATATGAATTTGAGGATTGTATTAGCTACAATCTTCCAAGCCGGTCATCGTAAAAATTTGGGTGAGAAAGACGTTAGCTAGAGATTTTAGAGATATCCAACATCACAATGAGACTTATTCGATGATGGACGTGTTGGTGTTAGAAATCCACATCAGAAACAAGAAGTAACTTAAAATAATATACAACAAGAAACATGAACTACATATATATTAATTGCTAATTTGTTTTAAGCTAAAGTCCATGAAACTTAAATGTATATAAAAAACAATTAACATGGTGGCTCCTGCTACTTAGAAAACCAAAAATAAGACATTTAGATTGTAATTGTGCTTTAATTCTAGGATATGGTCGTAAATCTTTATTCATTAATGAAAACTTTGATCAGGATATGTTAATGTGCCTCGATTTCACTTCCGAGCTTGCAAG